CTAGAGGAAGCCACGACCACGTGTCAGAGCAGGGAAGATGGCCGCGGGTCGTGCTCATCACCCGATGCAGAGTTCACGAATGGAAGCAAAATTTTGCAAACGCTGCTGTTCGTGAACCGAATTGTTCATGAACAGAAGCGTTTGTGAACCGAGGTATTACTGTAATGTTCTGTCAAATTGTGCTTGAGAAGTTAGAAGGCTAAAAACCGTCTTATACTGAAACTACAACCTGGTGCATTTAGCCCATTGTCATCTCTTGTGACTGGCAATGGTGCTGTAGGCCATGGTGGGCCAATCACATATAGCCTCTCAGCCCCATTTTTGCAGTCCCCAGAAATTCCTCAAGGTTGAATTGCTGAAATTCAGCAGCAGCAATTTTAGTAACACATTTTAAAAAAAATTTCTTCTTCTATAAAATAAGATTTAAGCCTCTGGGAGGCTTTATGTTCCTTTTGTAAGTGAACAGTCCTTACATTCTCCCAAAGAGTTGAAAATGTCAACCCCATCCCCACTAGTAACATTACTATGTCACCACCATGCCCCTCCCAAAACAGCCAGAGCCAAAGAAGTTGCCAAGCCTTGCTCCAACACATTAAGTCAGTGTTTCTCAACCTTGGCAACTTTAAGCTGTGCACTTGGCAACCAGCTCACACTTACGACAGTTGCAGCATCCCAGGGTCACATGATTGCCATTTGCGACCTTCCCAGCCGGCTTCCCCCAAGCAAAGTCAACAGGGAACTGCATGATTCGCTTAATGGCTGTGGTGATTACTACTGCAGTAATAACTACTGCAGTAATAACTACTGCAAAAAAGGTTGTAAAATTGGGCACGACTCGCTTAACAACCGCCCTACTCAACAACAAATTTTCTGGTCCCTATAGTGGTTGTTAAGCGAGGACTACCTATATACAGCAGAATTTCTCAGTGATCAGAACATGAGTTTTACAACAGAACTTATGCATGCATACTCAGATTGAAGTCTGATTTTCAACAACACTTACTCCATGTAAATATATACAAGACTGCAGCTTAAAGGCCGCTTTTGGCAGATGTGCTTAGAATGTTCTGCTTGGGTCAGTGAGACTTGCAATGTTTGTGCCATAAAATGCTAAACTGAATTAACTGTACACTTCATTATGATCCAAGTTTACTCTGTGGATACAAAACTGATTTGTAAAAATGTCCTCTCAGGCGTGCAAACACTTGCTTACTTTTTCTTCCCTACTCTTGCTTCTTTTACCCAGTCCACTGCACAGTTAGATCGCTGCATAGAAGATACAGACAGTAATATCCAACATCTAAAAGCCACCCAGAAGTACTTGCGTGACTGTATTCACAGCAAGCAGACAGGCTATGATGTGGATGGTAGTATTAAACGGCTGCGGCAGCGCCGCATGCATCCACGCATCAGCACGAACGAGGTTTTCCAGTTGGTCTGTACCTAGGAAGCATGGCAAATTAATTAGTGCTAAAATAAATTGCTGGGACACCTTATAGTAGTCAAAGATCATTTCTTTCTAGTTGGGGAAGGGGAAATATTTGACTGGCTGTGATTATAAAATGGAATAGCAAATTCAAAATACACTAGCCTAGTAGTCGGATCCCTAAGCTTCTCAGCTTTAGGTTCCTATTTTAGGATAATTTAAGTCTCTGACTTTCATGATATTTGAAGTCTCAAGAACTTGAAGGGAACGTGGCTACTTAATGTAGAATGTGATGTAGAAATTAAGGTAGTGTAAGTAGCTAAATGTTATTCTATGGGATTCAAACCCCCTACCAGAAATTGAACTCATGGACTTTTACCCTTCAGATGATTATATACAATGCATTAGCTCTTAGGAGCTATTTAGGTTCTGGCACTCAGCAGTTGCAGAGAAGGAGATATAGAAGCTATCAGAATGGTATATACAATGCACCTTCCCTTAAAACTCTCAGAGCAGAGAAATACGGATGCTAAATTATGTCATGCCTCTATATGTGGGGGTTTTACATAACTTCCAATAGATAGCTATGATTGTTTCCATAATGCCTCTGCCATTGCAGAGTTTAAGTTACTGAAAGTTTAAGTTACTGAAAGAAATTATATGGTTGTTCTTAGTGACTTAGTGTTGCCAGGGTTCATTGGGAGAACTGTGTGAGAAAGAGCTCACTAGAGGACATTTTTAAAGCCTAAGATTGCACTAAGACTTTTGGGACAACCTGTATACAATTTTAAGCCTTTAAAGCTTAAAACTGATTAAGACTTTGGGACTCCCTGTATCAGATAGTTCCTGCAGCATTAATTTTTGTGAAGAAGGGACTAGAGCAGATGTTATAAGTGCCACTTGGAGGGGAGATTCTCCCTCCCATAAAAGGGAGCTTTTATGAAAAGCTTCTTTTCAGTGTCCTTCAAGTTCTTTTCTCTGGAAAAGTCCTCCAACTCCTCTCGCTGTCACTCATGTCCTTGTGACCTCCTCACTGGATTACCACAATGCACTCTACGTGGGGCTGCCCTTGAAGAGCATTCGGAAACTTCAACTGGTGCAGAATGCAACTGCATGGGTAGTAAATGGTGTCAGTTACTCAGCACATGTAACACCACTACTCCGTGAGCTGTACTGGTTGCCAGTATGCTTCTGGGTGCAATTCAGGGTGCCGGTTGCCACCTTTAAAGCCCTGCATGGCTTGGGACTGGATTACCTGAGGAACTGACTTCTCCCAGTTGTTTCTACCGGTCCAATCCAGTCTGGCAGAATGGGCATGCTTCAGGTCCTGTCAGCCAGGGAATGGCAGCTGGCAGGGCCCAGGAAGTGTGCCTTTTCTGCCATAGCACCCACCCTATGGAACATCCTCCCTCTGGAGATCAGGATGGCCCCGACCCTGCTGGCCTTTCATAAGGCTCTAAAGACCTGGTTATGTGCCCAGGCCTGGGGCCCCAAGTGTGTCAAGGATCCCATCTCCTGGCTGTGTTAACAATCATGGATTATAACATCCTCCTCAGTTGTTGTATTTTAATTTTTGTAACGTGGTGGTAACTAGTTTTAATTTGTTTTATGATTGTTCACCACCAAGAGTTGCTTATAGTGAGATGAGTTGCCCTACAAATTGAATGAATGAATGAATGAATGAATGAATGAATGAATGAATGAATGAATGAA